TCTTGTTTTTCAACTGCGTCGCGGCAATGGTTTCTCTGTATGAGCTGCCTATCGGCTCGCAGAAAATCACCTCCTCGTCGCGCAGAATCGCTCGACGCAGGTCACGCTCCTCCGCGTCCAGGCCCCAGTAACAGTACTGCTCCAGATTGTCGAGTCTGTCACGTCCGTAGACTGATAACTCGCTCAGCGCAGCACGACGGATCGTCTTCCGGTATCGGTTTTTCCAATTCGGCACGCCAAGAATTCCTGCGAATAGAATGTCGCTGGCGCTGGGGTCCGCGATCGCGTTGTTCGTGGCGACTACTTGTAGCGTTCGCGCCTCATCATGGCCGATCCCGAAGACGCGGAGCACCGCCACTGCGATGCTGTTGATTAGTCTGTCGAATTCGCTTTCATCGATCACAGACAGAGGCGCAGCTAGGTGCCTGACACACGAAATTGTTGTCCATAGTGGTAGAGATTTGTATTCATGGATGCTAATCATCTTGCTTCCCGCAGATCTAACGAATTCAGCGCACACTGCTGCCGCATGGTGGATCAGCTGTCTACATCTGCTAGCGTACGCTTCCGTAATGTCGCAGCTGACCGGGAACCCGAACAACAAGATTTTTTCTTTGATTTTAATCTTACGGCCCGCTAGTGATACTGCTTCGTCGAATTTCTTTGCTACCGCTTGCACCTTCTGCGCAAGTTCCGCCTCGCTTGCACCATCCGCTTCTTGCTCAGTATCGGTCGGACGTCGCAAGTTATGTAAGATGATCGCCTCACACTTTTTCGCTGCTATGAACATCTTTGTCGCTGAGCACCAGTCTGCTAGACTGTCCGTGATCATTTCCAGCACTTCCATCACCAGCGCCAGGACTTCGTCTTCGCTCGAGTTGAATGGAGTCGATAGCTCTGTGTCGTCGATGCACAGCGCAGCCGTGATGCGCCGAATGTCCTCGGCGCTTAGAATTCCGTCGGCGATCAATTTTGACAAGAACTGCTGAAGCTGGTTGTCGAGCGACGCCTCTGGATGGTTTGCAGTTCTTGTGCGATAATCCGGCCGTAGGTATATTTCGTCCACATCGCTGGAGTTGTAGTCGTCGGCTTTCTCGTAGTCGCTCGTTATAATCTTCATCATTTTTGCTAGTAGTAATTTCGCTGCGTCGATCTTGTTCTTGCTTAACTTTCCGTTTTGGTAGCAAGCAGCCACAGCGGCGCGCGCGGTGGCAAGCCATGGCGCGTTGAGGACTTTTCCGATTGCTGGCGCCCCTCTTGTGCCTTGAGCCGCCTTCTTGTTTTCCTTGACTCGCAGGTGTTGCCCCCGGTCCGACAGGAAGATGCTTTTGCACTGCATCCGCACCATCCATCTGCACAGCGCTACCGGGTGCGGCTTCGCGTTCTTGAAATTGACGAACGCGGTTCGTGAACCTATGCAGTTGAACATGTTACTCCAGTCAAAACTAAGCTTGATCGCCCA